TAATTTTCGCTTCTGATTCTATCGTAGACAATTATATATTATTAGTAGCATTAACTACATGAGTGGATATTAATTCGGTTATAAATCCCAAAGAATATTTATCAAGATAATATTATATTATAGATAAAGAAGAAATAATTGAAATTTATTTTGCAAAGAAATTCAGATAACTTGAAATATATAAGTGTATCCAGCCATGTCCTGAAAATAAAATATCAAGTTGTTACAAACAAATGCAAAACTTTTCAAATCGCACCAATCGTCCAAATACTTCTGGACGATACCGCTGTCGTTACTGTATATTCGAATATGTTGCAAGGAACAACCGGTTTCTCTGCCGATTCTTTGAATTTTCATAAGGACAATGGCGTTTCTTCGTACGAACGTAAACGTGGCCATAAACGAGCAGCCTTTCCGTTTTGTTTCTTTAGATTCACGGTGATTTGGTGCCATAACAATGGTCTTCTTTTTACGGGCACATTTCTCCGCGTAAACTGAGATAATTGGCCGTGTCCTACCGTAACGCCACGATGCTGTTACACCACGTCGTTAGTGCGCACTGCTTTTTCACGGTTAAATCGTTCCTCGTTCCCAATGCGCCTCCACTCGACGAGTATTTATCACAGGTTTTCCCGCTAGTGAAAAGTTTTCCTATCGTTGGTCGTAGAAACTTCTCACGTCCCTAATTTTGCACTCTTCTTTCGTGAAAACGCGAAAATGTTTCACTCTTGCATATGTGCACGATTCTTACGTTCTTTGGAAATTTAACGATAATAAACTTCAATATACTTGTTAACAAGGATTAAAATCTTAGATTCATTAATATATATCTATGATTGAACTAATCACGGCATTCTTTCGACGCGTTTCTCATTGAATTTGGGTCCCAACTTCAACCCTAATTGTAATCGTTCCCACAGATCTTTCTTGGATTTTGAATACCTTAGTTTTCCGACCTAATTCATCCTATAATCTCTCAATGGAATCATGGTCGGCTGGTTGTAGAGATCATCGTATAATAAACATCGTGTCATTATTACTTTCTAAATATCGAATTCTATGGAGATATCCACTCCAAGCAAGCTCGATTTTAATTCAACCAATTGGACTCGTACCTTGATCATAAACTTGAAATCAACTTTCTGAATTCAACAAGTTTCAGTTCGAGTGACTTGACAAATTTAAACCGCGATTTTACATGCCACGACGACTTCGTCAAGGAGAAAATATCCTCGGCGATTAGATGCGCCAAGCGGCCATGACGGAAATAGAAAAAGCGAAAGAAAGAAAGCACGTATGTACATCTCGTTGATTATATGCGCGATTTAATCAAAGGATACAAGTGTTTCTTAAACGTATGTGTTCTGTGAATATACGCCGGAATCGATAAAATACGTCCGGTGATAAAGGCTGGAAATAAGGAGTACGAATCGTTTTAATCCTTAAAAGTAGTATCTGTTGCATTTATGTCACATTATAAGAATTTAGGATATTTAATTCTATTTGGTATTTTATATTCTCTGTAATTCAGACGCAATTAATTCTTAAATACGCAGTTTTTTAAAAATCATATACATTTAGATTTAATAGTGTCAAATTTATAATAGTGTGTATTTAAGAGTTAACCAAATTTGGACGAAGTTAGGCTTCTAAATTACTTTCTTATCGCGTTTAGATTACTCGCTTTGTGAAATTTTTCATTTGGAATTTTATCACTATTAAAGTTGAATATTTTAAATTATCGAAACTACTGAAATTTATCGCTACTAATTAACCTGAACTCAATTTAAAACCATAAATTGTTATGGTTTTCGATGTCGAATGATACCACTAAGAGTTAAGCGCTTGATTATTGCTCCGTGTGCTACTTTAAATATCGGACGAGAAGATTTATACGATTATAAAATTGTTCAAGTTGATGGGAAAGTACAATACCAGTCATAGTGTAATGAAACACGTGACGATCGTAGATCGTAGCCACGCCTTTGTTCGCTTTTATCTTCCGCGTTTCTTTCGCGTGGCGAGCGCGCCGATACTTCCGGCGAATTGCTTTACGGAAGGCAGATACATACTACGCGAGTGCCAGCCAACCGTACAATTAAATTTTACGTGAATCGGCCAACCACGCGGAGTATATACGCTACTACGCTAACAGGTGTGATATGCCTAGCACGGTTACTACTGTTGCATATGTATGTATGTCGCACGAACCAACACGACATTCTTCATCTATTGGATAATTCTCGATAAGAGTAACGCGAATATCAATAAAACTGATAAAGATGTTTGATAATGATACCGATTATCGTTCGCAATGAATGCTACTCATTCTTCGAGTTATAGCGTAGCTATTTGTTGTTACTTGACGTAATAACAAATTGATAAATTTCGATGACTACCAAAAAATTTTCCCTTTCTTTCTGAATGTTCATGCATTGGATATCACACATATGTTTATGTATTGGATTTTTTGGATAAATTTCCAACTATCCAAATCCCAAATATGTATCAAATTCTATTTTAAACACACTGTCTATCCGAAATGCAATTCGTCTTGTTTCATGTGTTGCCTCTGACGTTTCAACAATGTTGCACAAGGTGTGCACATAACTAAAAATCTGTCGATTTGTGATTAATCTGAGGAGCTAGATAGTCGAAGTATGTATTTGAGTATAGGATTTGTGTCACATTTCACGTCCACGAACTTTTGTATTTATGGTACACCGGTGCGTAAGCGCAGTCCCTCCCAAGTTCATTGTAACTTTGGTCATGTCGTGCATCACCTATCAACGTCGCACCTTCCTACACGCATTGCTCGTTTGTGAGTACACTTCCTTGCCCTGGTTAACGGGTGTGCATCGTTTGTGGCAATAATCCTAAATACATGCTGGATTCTACACTTGGTTAAATCTATGCACACATGTACGTATTAGCTGCTGTTCGCTACTACGTGTAACTTGAAACGATCTCACAATGACTGACATATTTCTTTGATGTCGTATTGTTACATAAATTGGAATAATCTCCAGCAGAGAATACGAAGAGAATTTTCTAATACGAAGTATAATAGTTGGCTAAAGTTTGTCGTTGCAGAGAAATATTAAAAACGTATGTATGTATGTATGTATGTATGCACGTGGATTAAAATACAGGAAGAAACTGATCGATCACTGGCAAGAGCTAGAAATGCATGTTTCAAAAAAATTGGCATCTCTGCGACAAAGTACGTAATTGACCTAATTGCTCGTAACAAGCGTTCGCCTGAAAAATGACGAAATTTCGAAGCTCGAATAAACCTCGTAAAAGGTGAGATCATTCGAGCAATACATATTGCTCTCAAAAACTCTGTAAGTATATATATGTATATATATTGTTCACGATTACTTCAATGAGTACTTTATTTATTTGCATTCTATATCTGGAACCTAATTAATAATCTATTAAAATTATAACATAGTTTGAAGTATTGCTGTTTGAACTAATCACGATAATCTTTCTACTAATTTAGAAGAACTTTCAAGTCAATATATTAAAAATTAAATAATGTATTATAAATACTATATACTATTTATATTTATACATAATATTCCACAATATATTCTAGATGGACCTATATTTTCTACGAATCGATAATACTTTCAAGTAGCAATTTATATACGGACAAATCTATATATCTTAAATCATAGATTGTAAATTTCAGATAACGGAATTAATAGATTTGAAAATTTGTCAGGTCCGACAGATCACTGGAAATCACCGCGTTTGAGCGAACGTACATATACCAAATGTATAGCGCAAAGAAAAAGCAAAAGAGAAAGAGAAAACGTATACGGCAAAGTAAGTATGTACCAAGTGTGACACACTTCGGAAAAACGCTTTATTCTCAGGGTCGCGCATGAAACGGTACAGTGATGGAAATAAATTGCACGGTGTTGTTCGAAATTCGTCGTTGGTCTTTCTAGTGACGGGATAATTTCTCCGATTTCCGACGGATTCTGCGCGCCTCATACCGCAACTCTGCGAGAAAATAGATGATAGTTGTGCTGACGAAATATAACACACGGCACGCAAAGACTGCATTTGAAGAATCCGTTCGATCTTGACTCTATCGATTTCACGTACCTATCAAAATTCTTGTATTTGATTCTTCGATCGAATAGCTCTAATAAAACAATGAAAATCCAATATATGTACCTATAACTTAATGCACTTAGTAAACTTCGTTGCAGATTGAACACTAGACGCATCAAATTTGTTAAAATGACAGAACTGTTGTCTTTGCAATCACGGAAAATATACAAATGCATCTGACAAAGTTAACGTTGATTTCTATTAAAATGGAAATAGAATCGTATATACTTGTTTATTTCCGTAAAATCACTACAATTGAAGTTGTATCCGTGTAGTACGCAGATCAATAGCTTCAGTATTAAACAATACACTGTTTTGCATGCTGCACGGCATAATATTCATGCAATTGATGAAAAACACTGCGATTGTGTACATATATAAACATTGTATCGGAAATTCCTATCAACCGGACCAAGCAGATGTTTCCGTGTATTGTTGATTGCAATATATATGTATATATGTACATAATACTACGTATTATATATAATGATATTATAAAGTACATAAAGTATTATCCTTTCTATCATATACTTTGACATCGCTGGAGGTTATGTGAATAATACGCATTCTTCTTATACCAAGTTTTAGACGAAAATTCCTTAAGATACCCGTAATAAAACGATAGAAATTGAATCACTGTATTGGAGTTAGTATACATGTACATCTTTAAAACGACGGTAAACACTGGTATTTAAAAGCATGCATTTAAATCTATCGTTCATTAAATTGAAAGGTGTATCACAATGAATTTGATATTAATTTCATGTTTAATATTTCGAAACAATTTAGTACTGTCAAAGTAATTGAAGAAAATGCCTACTATGTATCGAGAAAGGTAATAGGTGAAATCTGAAAACTAATAAACTTACCTATAGAATGTAGACGCGATCTTTTCTTAAATAAGACACCACTAATAAGAAAATCGGAGATGAAAGTACAATAAGAAGAAAATATACACAGAGTTTGCAAGCACGAATTATTTTTCCGAGCCAATAACGGATTACTTCCTACCATAAGCACGTAAACAACTCTTGTTCCAATTCCACCGACAGCTACGAATACGAAACAGGTCCGTCGAATCGCGGGGCGACGCTGGATGCGACCACGGCCCATACTCGCACCATTTTCAAATAGTCCCCTTACGAATGTAAATATTTATTGCTTACGTACCTTAATATTCCTGAATTCTATACACGACAAGTGATCACAGCTCATGGAAAAGATGTAGCTCAGTTGGAAAACTTCCGTGATTCTGACGCACTTTTAATTCAAATCGCGAGTACAGCAAATACGGGACTGCTTTCGATGTTCTTACGCGCGAGTCAATATGGCTGACTACGTAGGAAAATCAGTTTCTCTTATGACGCAATCAAACGAGTACGCCCCAGCTTAGATACATTTTCTCCGCTAGATAGCAGCAGCTGGGCTGCAATCTTGACAGCCGGTAAAAGGAAGTTCCAACTTTCGATAAAAGAGAAATCATTTTTCACACACGTGACACATGCGAAACAGCACAGACCAAGTATATGAATAGACATTGCTACAGACGAAGTATATTTTGCCAATTTTCATTAATCGCTGCTTTCAATCGTTATATTTCTTTATTGATAAAGTACCGCTACGTTCAGTCATTGACTAATAGCATTGACTAATTGGAATAGACCAGGCATCAAATGGGGTTTGGTATCTCAAGGTCTGAAATACCGACCAAAAAAAATATCACTGGTTTTTTAGCGTACTCTACGCTTAAACAACGGTGAATTGGAGAACTATGTCAAACAAAACAATACAAGGTAGTTGAGGAAAATTATCTGTTACAGTGTTGTCAATTGTATATATTGTGTTATACCAGGTACAAACGAGGTATAAACATACATATATATATACACCTTCAAACGCAAACGAAGTGTTTTCCACAGATTGACAGAAAAATATTCACGACATAATGTGGGATGGAGCAATCATTATGCCTCAAACTGTCCACATACGAATCATAGAAATCAATCCTATTATTCTAGATTTTTTTTTGTACAATCAACAATTCCTCTCCATGTAATGTGTCACAAATGTCAGGGTAATCACTATGCCTCTAACTATCGAAATAACACAAATTTTCGAGACACTTACATAGCGTAAAACGATAACGAATTAACAATCGAACTCGAATTTTCAACAGGAACAAAAATTTCTTATAGACACTGGCACCACAATCAACTTATCAAAAAAAAGACGCTGTTTTGAAATGAACTGTGCTGCTGAAGCTGTTTTTTTGTCGAACCGTATAATACAGAAGTTAGAAGTATATCCGACAATCTATATAAAATCTCGTTAAATGCAATATACAAGGAAGAGTATTTTGACATAGTTCCAAATAATTTCCCTATACCTTTCGATGGATTAGTAGGCTTCTCTATACCTTTTTCAACAACACACTAAGATCATTATAGAAGACAAAAACGTTATATTACATACGAAACATCAACCACAAGAAACATACATTAATGAAACAAAAAAACGTTTAAATTTATTAAAAGAAAACATTCGTTGGATCATATTAACGAAAAAGATAAAAGTGAAATTTGGAATATAATAAAAACATATAAAGATATCTTTCATTTATCCGGTAACGAATTGCTTCAAACTACATTTCCATAGAAACTATTGATAACTTGCTCATAAGTACAGAAAATTATAGATATTCTGAATCACATAAGAACAAAGTCGATAAACAAACTAACGAAATGTTAGATAAAGGAATTATCGAAGAGAGTAACTCATCGTACAATTCTCCCTTATGGGTTATACCAAAGATGCATCCGGTACGCGTGATAGTTGACTTCAGAAAGTTAAACGATGAAACACTTCATGATGATTACTCTTTACCAAACATTAACGATATTTTAGATTAGACGACAGTTAGGTAATTGTCGATATTTCTCAGCCTTTTCTAGCTTCGGGTTTCCATCAGATTAGCATAGATGACAAAATTTTATTTTATTTTGTTCTCTTGTTCAAATAAATAGTTCTGTGAAACTAAAGTATAATTCTTAATTATCACCGGATTCAATTCAATAAATAATTTTCGATGCCGAAACAGCAACACTGTCCATATTTTTTGATTTGAATTTCTATCACCAATAGTGCAATATTTGCCTAAGTCGATATGACAGGATGTGACACGAAAATGGTAAGAAGGTCTAGTGATAATCGTCTATGATATCGACTATCGTTAAGGAAGCGATTTAAAATTGATTTTCAGTCTGTTCATTAAAAGACCGGCGCACAAAGTCCCTAGGAAGTTATAGTGTTGTTCACCTGTCACTCCATCTACAGTTATCCTCGTTCTTAAGTTCTTAAAACGTAAAACTGGGCAAGCACGATTTTGTCAATCGTATCATATACCGATTATTAGCTCTATGAAAATGTGGTAAGCTGTTTAATTTAAAGTACCGCTAGTTACATTCCTCGATATAGTTTGTTTACAAACACCATGGTAACATAACCTCAATTCTCAATCATACTTAACCTATTAACTACGTATTATGTATGAATACATTCGGTATGTCAATATGATGTATCAATTTTCGTTTTAAAGATGCACTCGTCAGGAAATGGCACGATGGTCGACTGTATTATCAGGGGTATTCCTGGCCCTTACGATGATATTGTCTCTTGGCAAACTTCTGATGCTTGCCACCGGAAATGGAAACAACGGGGATCTCACCGAAGCAGATCAATGGCTTGCCGAAATTGGATTGAAACAATACCGATCACTTTTCAAAACAAAAGGTCAGAATTCTTTTAATTACATTTCCAGTTCGATTATTTTATAACTCTCATATTATGTATTACATGACAGATGACATTCATTAGATGATCTATAAACAAAAGGAGTTTTTAGTTTTCAAACTATGATTACAATTGTCATTTTACGATTACGTAAATAACCCTGGGTTAAAAATTATGTTTATGGATTTAAAGTAAATCAAATCAAACGGTGTTGAACACAATAATCGATGAAATTATAATACATTGTCATTCATTTTCTTTGGCAAATCCTTAGACCCAATTCTTTAAATCCATACAGTAGTTTCATTCTCGTAGAAATTCATTGTTTGATATATATATATAGTCAGTTTCCTTTACATATTTATCAATTGTTCGTAAATTGAGTCAAATTTTCGAAGTATATTAATTGTATAATAATGAACATAGAGAGCCTTCGCTCGTACAAACGTTATTCATTAGGAATGAAATTATGCTTCAAAATTCATCAATTCTTTCGCTCCAAAGAACATATGTATATATACATGTATATATATTTATATACGTACTTGAACAGTATTCAGTCCTCACGAAGAACATATACATATGTGTATACATGTTCGAAAAATGTATGCTTACAGCGGACGTATATATATACGTATATATAAATATGTAAATTATTAAGAAAGTTATAAAATAATCAATGATAATTTAATTTTAATAAATGAAAGATAATACAATTGTTATATATTGTGTATATATTGTGTACCGTACGCAATATATTATATAGAGCGTACATAAAAGTTGGAGAAAAACGTTGGCAGCACATAGTACTTATCATAACAAGTAAAAAAAGTCTTCGTAAGAATAATAGATTCTATTCTGTATTTATCTAGAATCTATTGAAAGAAAAACAAATGCAGTCCTAATAGTATATAAATAAATATGTGATATGTATGATTCTTTAATATTACATACAATGTTTACGTTTCAATATTACATTCTTCAGCTATAAAATTCCGAAATTGCAGATAAATGAATTGACACAATGAATCGAAAATTACTGTCAAGAAGTAAGAGAAATACCGGAGATGTTTCAACGTGTGTATATGAATGCTTCTATGAGAAAACGTGCCGAAGTGTGTGTTGAAATAAACAGAAGGTATATTAAAAATATTCCGTATAGGAAATGCTATTGAAAAAACACCTCGTAACGCCGAAATGAATAGATTATGTTTAAGACTTTTTTGCTTGTTTAATGAATACTACGTGCTACGAAAGTTTTTTCACCAACTTTTTTATACACTACAAAAATCTAATGGATGCGCAAAAGAATATAAGTTAAAATAGTTGGTTTTGCAGAAAAATACATAATATTTAAATTTAAAACGCAGTGTAGAATCAGATATCAAATTTTATACGTGACAATTAATAATATATGTTCAGTCCTATAATTATAAAATATATATCATTTTTTCAAAAATTGTGACATATTATTTTGATTAAAATAATGTACTGTTTTGTCCGCGTTGCAAAGATTTATTCTGTATGTTAGAATCGACCTATCGATTCATTAATAACACATTCCGTTCATATCGGTTCCGGTCACATTTTATTACATCTCAAACAGTAATTTAAATTTTATGCATAATTTATTTTAAATTCTACGCGCGATCAATGAATAATTAATTACGAATGTTCTTTCTTAACTACGTAATCTACAAACTAAATGTTCATAAACGTCCGTCAGATGAAAAATAAGAAAATTTCTTAGATAAAATATTATTGACAAAGAATGTTTATATATACATATATATGTTGATGAATTATTGGTATGTGTTCAACTTCAGCTTTTTCATCTTACTTAGCTCGTTTCTCCGCTTGTCCTTTTTATCAGATTCGGAAGCTGTAGCGAGACAAACTGATAAATCTGCGTCAATGTTCAAACTTTTATCGTTTTGGCCCTGGTTGGTGCCAAAGATATTAGCGCTTGCGCGCACTTCCCTTCGATGCTAGGCTTTTGTACCTCTTTATTGGTGGAACGAACGAATAGATACGAAGTTCTCAGCTGCGGCAATGTCACTGCGCGCTATTTGTACTTTGGGTCAACGAGGTGGGGATGTTGTTCTTGTTCTCATCCCTTCGAAAGTAAACTTTTTCGTATATATATGACCATTTTTATTTTTTTCCAAACTGTATGTTCCCACTGATCCGGAAGCCATCGTCGATCAGTAAATGGCAAAATTCTAACGTCCAAATACTTATAATTGATATAATAATAAATGTCATGACGTTAAACACTTCATCTTAAATGAAACTTGCTGCCATCCAAATAATTTGTTCAATTAAATTAATGACACTTCTCTGTTGATTCGTCATATAATACATACAAATTTAACCCTTAGAGTACTGACTACTTCCGGCAGAAGTCATTCGTGTGGACGGCGATTGCGATCGCTGGGGATGGAATACTTTTTTTGCTAACGTGAACTATGTTGACTGAATACGCAAGGCGCAGTTAAGTTATAATCCCGGTACGCCAAATTAAATAATACAAGGAAGTTATTTTCGAAAATTAATTATTTTATTAAAAACATTAAAATGTAAAATATATTTTAACTTGAAATTATATTAAAGAATCTAAATATTTGAATTTGATATATATAATAAATTATACACTGCATTGATATGCTATGTCATTGCAACAATCACAACTTCTGCAAGACTCTTTGCGAAAAAAAAAGACTAATAGAAACAGTCATCTGTTTTGTTGCTAAGGAATACACATATATTCATCTTATATAAAAATGATTATAATTATACTTCGTTTGAAAATGAAAAAATTGATAAACGTATATATGCGCCCATAATCCATGCTGATGACTTTTGCCAACGCATATATGCGCCCACAGCACTCAAAGGGTTAACAGCTGTACTGATCTTTTACACATTAAATTTTGTGCTCATTTGATCATTTTAAACTTTAACCGCGAGGAGATATTTTAAGAACACTTTAAATGCCGAATTCTGTTGACACAGCAGAAAGCATGATTGACTTGTCCAGAGTAAAAATGCGATTTCGTTCAATTAGTAAATAGATGGTCCTCTCTCCTCATTTCCTCCTCCGATAGTTGCTTCACTCGCTTCGGATTCCTCATCGATCATAGATCATCCGAAAGTAAATGATTTTCAAGAGCGTCCAGTATGGACAAGAGCACTTCTTTATGCTTACGTATTACAACAAATGGACTGTAATTTTTAGAAAAATTCAGGGTATGCAATATCCAAAATCTAATGATAAATTCGAATCTCATCAATTCTTTCGAAAAAAAATTCTTTCTTTAAAAAAGCCGAGGTAATCGATGTTTTTTCGAGTCAATGGATCGTTGTACTTATGCTTCGATGAAATTTACAATGGATTCACGTGTCCAACTCCATTCCAATTTCCAATTTTTCTCAAATGCTTATTTCCTAGTAGTATAATTCTCGAAACATTCGAGACTGTGATTTTACAATTGCTAAAGCTGATTGTGGTCCCTGTAAGTGGTAGGATGGGAAAGTCAATGGCAAAAGTAAAAGTAAGACGGACGACTTGGTGATGCTGTCGGTAGAAGAATGGAGAAACGTGAAGGACAGGAAGACGATCGGCTTGTTTGGCGTGGTCGGAACCTGGTGGGAGTACCGAACGGGTGGCAGAGGGTGGCTCTGGCAGCGTAATCGTATCGCATGCAGTCGTCTAGCGTGAGTCCGCGCGGGCGGGTCGTCAGGTCACATCTCGCTCTCGAGATACTGCCGGGCATCGAGACTACTCGCTCGACCAAAGCTTCCTCCAGCACCTTCGAAAATTCTCGCGGACTCGTTTAATCGCGAATCAAACGACGTGAGCATTATGCGCGCTGCCAAAGGGCGCGTACGCATGAATCACCATACAAACGGAGCACTTGTGAACGGTGAAACCGTAAACGAGCCTCGGATGTTCGCGCGTTCATCGAGCCTTTGACACACTGGCCCGTTTGATCCTTAGTAGACGCGTTGAGTCGGTCGTAGAAATCCTCGCGTTTATCACCCCTTGACCACTTTAGCCGTTCCTTTACCTCCCACTCTCCTTTCGCCCTCCTCCCTCGTCGCACCCCCGTCTGTACTCTGACTTGGAGGCGTACATTAAACATTAAACCTTAAACACACCGTACATTAGACTTCCGCTAAGCCACTTTTCGCTCTCTGTCGATGCTTGACCCTTCTCCCATAATTTCTCTCAGCCTCGTAGACAGCAAGTAGCAAATTCATAATTAATATCGTAAACAAGTGCGAAAACGACACTCCTGTTGCGAAAAGGGTACGATTTCGTTTGTGCCCCGAGAACTACATTTTCGAAGCCGATCTAATTGCACACACTGCTTCCTCCTTTTTGCTAGCGTCGCGATTTTTCGTTGCGAGCTTCGAGCTGCCACGAAACCAACTCTCCAGCGGGAAAACAGTCTTCAGGTGACGAGACAGAAAGTTCGATTCGAATCCGTAAGTGCACTTCTTCTTCTCATTCCGATGATATTCGTTTTGCCATTCGACAATACGACAAATGTCAAAGGCACTAGAGTTATCATTTTACTTTATGCCACGATTATTGCTATATGTCGATATTTAAATTATTAATCATTTTCTAATCACTTTCTCATCTCAGTCTCATTTTTCATCTCTGTTTGCGCTACTTAACGAACTGCTCGATCCTAATTGCATGTGTAATTGCAAATTAAGTTAACCACTTTTCCTTGATTAAAGGCATTAGTTTCGATCGCAGTCGTCGACATTTGCTTAAGGTTTAACGTAATTTTCTTAAAACAGAGATTGTTGCGTTTCACGGAAGATTAAACGAACTTACTATATTCTTTGACAGAAAGGCAACACGGTCCAAGGACTCGTCTTGAGAGAAGCTTTTCACGCTTTTTTAAAACTCTCGTTTGATCGCGTAGGTGTTACGAGCCATTTGAAAACTTTGCTACTCGAGACCACAAGAGGTCACGAGATGCCTCCTATCACAAAAGACATTGACGTCACTTGCAATCTTGAAAGTTTGCACGCCACGTCGTCACACTATCCGGACATTCCGAAAGTCACAGATCGCCTAGAGCATAGCGAACGCGTCCTGCATTGCGACACTTTGAACTAGTGTTATGCCAGTTTCCCTATGAACATTCAAGCCGAGAAGAATTTCACCGATAATGCGTTTTATCGGTTCGACGTCGACGCCAATACCTTCCGCTGAATTCTTGAAATTCGAACGAAACTAGCGCGAAGGAAATTGAATTCTCAAGTCTCTGACAAGCTCCCTTCTTTTCCCTTATACGCGATACGATCTTTTATACCTATACAGTCGAGAAAATGGAATATCGTTAAATACGATATTGTAGAAAATTTCGAAACGTTGCAGTCACTGATTACTCGTTGCACCGCCAGAATCGACGGCGGATGGCTCTGACGTCGAGAAATGATCTTCTAACCGGCGGTTCTTTTCACTCTCCACGGTGTAATTTATCATAGACCACTTTCCGCAGCTGTATTGTTCGAAAGTAATGAATCGGGACGAAAATTTCGGACGTCCGCGGCATAAATCATCAGCCGCTTTTATGAATATACGATGCGAGATTTTGTAAATTTCTTTGTAAATTGAATCTACGGTCACGTAAAATAATAAGGATACACAAAATGATGGATCGAATCGGTCGATTGGCAAATTGATCGAGTTTCATCGGTCGGCTGGCAAAATTAGTAAAAACGTGTGTTAATGTAGGAATATTGATCGCGCGCGAAATCGATGTCGTTGTCGCGTGCAAGTATCTACATTGCACACAAACAAACGTCGATGAGAAAAGTATCGATCCTTTTGGCTAACCTTAACCTTTCGACGTTTCTCCGCGAAAAGAAATTTCCCACAAGAATATTTTTAAAAAGATCAAATTGGTTTGCCCATTAGAGTTGGGCATTAATCGATTAAATTTTTAGTTTGATCGATTGATTAATGCTTAGGACTTAATCGTTAGAAAGTCGGCTAATCGTCGTTTAATCGATTAATAATGTTAATCGTCAATTATTAATTAGTTTGGTTATAATTTCATTTAAAGTAAAATATTTTGAAATCGTAATAAAGTGTCAACGCTTAAGTTATTAGTTTAACGCGATAAAACATATTAATAATAAAATAATAGATATATTTCTGGTTTATACTGTCGAGAGTATGTTTTATTTTCAACTTCAAAATTTACTAAATAAACAAGCAACAATGAAAAACTTTATTTCGCATTATGCATTAATATTATTTTATTGTTCATATTGCATTTATAGATGCTTCATCATATCTCTACACAAGAAGATATAGAAAATGCTAATTTCATTATAAAAAGAATTTCAGCAGTTAATCGTTAACGAAGCATTCAACTGGCGATTAAAATTGAAAGGAACTTAATCGTTAATAACAGTTAATGATTAAAATAAGAATTTAATCGTTATTTATGATTATCAACAAAAACTCGAATACAATCGTTAATTGAGATTAAAGATTATTAGAAAAATGTAATCGTTAATCGTTGATTGATTTTTTACCCAACTCTACTGTAATGTAGAAAAAAAAACAAAAAAAAACGAGAAATCAAGATCACGTAACTACGTCTCATGTTTTAAATACCTATCTAGATTTTTACCGCATAATCGCGCGCGTAAAAAAAAAAAAGAGTATTAGTAATACGAATTAACATAACAGTATTTCTACATTTTTAAATTATTGTAATATAAAATATAATTCAAATGAATCTTTTTAATTTAATCTTACGTATATAGTTGATACATATTGATGAAAAGAATAGTTAATATTTATGATAATTATAATAGGGAGCGGAAGACTCTGCGGAATGACCTTGTTGAAATTTTAGTCCGATTATAATCTTTCTAATTACATTGAAAAGGTTTATACAGATTTTATAAAACATCAGTTATTTATTAAAAATGAAAACAAGATTTATTAAACTTTTAATGCAATTGCACTAAGTGTCCGATTATTTATGCACGAGGCTGTAAGGTTACATAAAATTGAAACGATCAGAAACCATTCCGCTAAACTTGATTGCGCACTACAGAGAATTGTAAATGAAATGTAAATTAGGAATGGGAATATGATGAAATGTACAAGCAAACATATCGCTCGATAAAAACTCGCATAAATGAATCACAAGGATTTATATTGCATGCATGCTCACCTCTTTTTGTTTAAGTAAGTGAAATATTGCTTTTAATTAAAAATTTATATTTTTAATAGCATGCACTATATATTTTTCGGAGCACTGAATTTCATGAAACATACCTCGTGGAGAAAGTTCCTGCGAGGAGAATTATTTCTTGCTTTGATGAATCATGTAAATGTAAACCAACCGTACAATAAATTAGCGCTACTTTAGCAGTGTTATTTTTTGTCTCCCATGTAACAAGCAAATTTGGGACATTAATTTATGTTTTACCGTGACACAAAGAATTAATCAGCACGCGAATAAACCGACGAATTGTGTTTCTTTGTTATTTCGTCGATTTTATCTTTTAAATTAATTCTTTAGTCATTACTTATGCCATTCACGTCATTACTTATGCTGAAAAAAGAAGTGTTTATGTAGATGCACGGTTGCCTCTAGGGAAACAATCGCTCATTGGTATATACATATACATATATACTCTCGCGGGAGAATATTCACGATTCCGCATCCTTTCATCTGAGTTCTCTTACAAGGCTAAGGTTCTCGGAAAACGTTCCTTTCAACGAAACTTATTGCTCAGACCTTACGTTTAAGAAAAAAAAGCAAAAGCACGTAAAGAGAGCTCGTAATTACAAACAGAATCGCGCTACTGTTCAACTAACGGGGGCGCAGTGTAAGGATTTCATTAACGTGGTAGGATACCAAGGTATAAACGATATTAGATAAAACTGGTATCATCAATATCTGTTCGATGCCCGTGGTATCGCTTTCGAAATATTCTGAAATAAGAGAAGAAGGAGGAGGACGAGGCGAAATTCACAAGTTAACAAATTAAACAGATTGAAACGAAATCTCCTCCTTGCTCCTCAGCGACTCCAGAGAACCGTGTACATATATATCGCGTCCGCGGTTAACGTTAGACACAAAAGCGTGCAATAGCAAACGTTGGAATCGATCTGTCCTACCTTTATAATACTGACAACCCTCTCGTGCATAATCATGAGAATGTATGACATACGTATGCCCTGGTTTTCCCTGCCCACCACCGCCGCCTCCTACCGCTGCTCCAACCCCACTGCCACCCTCTCTTACTACCGAAAGGATCGTTAGCACGAAGTAATGCCAGTGAAGGATATCCGTTCGAAAAGGTCAAGAGTCCACGCGAGCTTGCCGTGTGCTACGCGGTTGATTCTTTTATTGCACCGTACTACATTTTCTTTTTTCTTCTTCTTCTTCTTCTTCTTCTTCTTCTTCTTCTTTTCCTTTCCCACGTGTATTTCTCGCCTCGGCCACAGCCTCCGGGAAGAAAGAGGAAGACGAAGAGATACGTGAGAAACGTACCACATCCTTCTTGCACCTTTAAAACGTTGCTGCTCGAGGGCTTTGATGGCCTCGCTTAATGGAACACTTATCCCTCGAAGTTCTATAATGTTCTGCGGATGAAACAGTCTGTAAACGTTTTTTCTTTTCTTTTCTTTTCTTTTCTTTTCTTTTTTCTCCTCTTTTTTGTTTGAAAGGAAAGGAGAGGAGAAGGAAGAGAGTTTAAATCTTGGTAATTGTCATAAACTCGATTGAACCGGTTGACGCGCTTTTGTTGCCCACTCTCCGATAGCCAATGTAATCTCGAAGCTTCGTGTTATTGCATCGGCTATTGCATCATTTTACGCGGAAAAAAAAAGCCGATGTATTTCGGGCGCGCATCGCGATTGAATTTCGATTCAACGAAAATGGAAGAAAGCGAGAGACACACGTGCATAAAAAATCGATAATCGTCTCGTTTCGACTCGGAGTATTTCTCGAGGAACGATCACTTGAACCCGGCGTTTCGTCCTTTTTACGATCATTTATCGATAGCAATTGGCGCGGTGCATGTTGGTTGCCGATAAATTGTGCAAGGGAAACGAGATGAACGCGGGGAACACGGGTACGATAACCCCAGTTTGACCTCGGGTGGACTCTTGACCTGCTTTCGGAATCGTTTAATTCATAGTAACGTTTCGTTGTCGTTGATTAAATCGCAGCTGCTGCTACTGCCCTATCGATCCAGCGTTGTTTAATTGGCATCGTTAATCGACCGGCTTGAAAGCACACAGAGATAGCGAGGAATCCGCCGAAACTGCTATCAATCTCTTTATTTGAATCGAGTTCCACGGATCTGGGTCAACGCCGGCAAATGCATACACTCCGCATCGAAATATCTCGCGGAGTTTGGCCCTTTCCCCCGCCCTCCCCTCTTCGCTGTTTCGATTGCTCCGCACACGACCGGACGAGCTTAATCCTTGAACTTGGTGACACGAAATCTTTTCAAAGTCGATCCACGCGAAAGCAGCGCTAAGTCGAATTCTCCGTATCTCCCTTTGAATATTCATGACCACGCTCGGAAACGGAGCTTTTCCTTATCATTTCATTTTACGTTAGCAAGCAGATATCCCAACGGTCTATCATTTTTCTTCTCTATACCCTCCACTCTTTCTTTCTATGTGCGAACAGTTTCGTAAAAACTTCCCGTACTTTACTTCCCGTAAAAAAACTACCTGTACCTTTCGCCCGACTGGCAATTGAAATTAATTGCGTATTATTAGCAAAGCACGATGCAAACCGGTGGTTTTACCTGTGCAGGAATGATTAATGCTTTTCCAACGTTCACCTCTTGGTACAAGCCCTCCATTATTCCTGCCGTTCTACGCGTAATTGTTTTAGTTGTGAAAAATCACTACGTGTTTGTACATCGGGTGGAATGTTAATCCTTGACAAACCTGTCACGTTCTGCGCAATTGGCAATAGCTGTCCGTCTTTCAATTATCGCAATCACATTGTACACTTCGCCGCTGACATGGCGATAATAGAGGACAGAGCGTTTCATTGTTCGTCCGCACAATGCATCGGTTTAGATTTATTGCGCGCTTTTCACGAGAGACAGGAACCCCGAGTAGATTTCGAGTCGCGCGAATTATTAAAGTTTCCCAAACGTGAAGCCGAGTATGGGTATGGTGATAAAACGCTGGTATAATAATGTTTCGAGAAGATGACCTCGTGACGAGCGAGCGATGCGACGGTGAACGAAAGAATGCTTCGTAGTCGGTAAAAGTCGAGGAGCCAGGAACACCGTGGAGGAATTATGCCGGACAAAAATCGAGGCTGCCGAGATGGACAACGCGACAAAGATTTCTTTGCCGACGAGATATCGTCCATCGGTATGTCGTTACGACCCAGCGGTAGCGCTTCTTCTGGTAAGTAAAGCCTCTCCTCGAAAATCACCTTCAGACCCCGGTGTAGACGAGCGATTGCGATAGATCGTCATTGGAAGAACAGAAATATAAAATTCTCTTATCTTTCTTTCAGCGAGACAAAAGAACTTTATTCCTCTGTCCTTCTAACGACAGGTTGCCGCCGCTCCGACTGTTTGCCGCAACCGCTGGTTTGCACCGGATCTTAATTCCGCACTGTCTGGTTAATCTTCATGAAATAAGTATTCCTTGCTTGTACGAATGAAGGCTCGAGTTCACACTTCTTCTATTTTTCTTTCTTTTTTTTTTTTTTCTTTTCTTAATATTCAAGCTTTACGCAACGTAACGTTACACAATTGTTCTTTTACAATTGAAATCAACTCGCGTTCGTAATTCAACTCATTAACTGGAGACTTTACAATTTATTTCAATCATCGATAGGAATTATAATTATTGTATAGTTATTTTTAAACGTCGGACTTTGCTTGACGGATGTAAAGGAGTAGTTTCTTGATCACGTTTCCATTAGTGATCGAACGAAATGCCTGTGCCTCCGTGATTATACAATTCGTCAAACGATCCCTCTCACTAGCACAGTCCACGGTCAAAGGATACGATTCCGCAGTGCTCAGGCCTGTACGAAGCTGATTGAATAAATTTAGAATAACGCATTCTTTCATCAGGACTTCTGATTTGGCCACGTTCGCGTCGCCGATGGCGCAGAGCCAAAGCAGCTTATCCAACCACGCTTGCTTCTCGTTCTCCTCGGTTTTGTAGCTTACCCCGTGGTCTCGCATCCATAGAGTCAGCTGTAATTTCCGAATCAATACATAAACCGAATTCAGCAACATTCGCTTCGCGACAATGCAATCTGTATCCGTGGAATAACCGAATAGAATTTCTGAATTCTTTGAACGCGCGTTACGTCAACGTGGCGCATCTTACCTTTCCTCGACATTTGAAAGTCAGAGGGTTCCCGAAGAAATATAGTTTATCGATACCGCCCGGCAATGCCAGCGGATCCAAACACATCAGGCGATTCTCCCTGATGTCAAATCGTTTCAGCAGCGGCAGTCTCTCAAAAACTGCCGGCTCGATTTTCTCGATTTGATTGAACGACAGGTCCAACTGTTCCAAGTACACCAGATCCTTGAACCACGGTTCCTTCACTTGTGTAATGTTGTTGCTGGGGAGACTGAGTTTCTTTAAACTAGATAGGGCGTCGAACGCATCCGCATGAATGTGGTGTACATGGCAATTGTATATGTTCAGCGAGTGCAAATGTCTTGCATATTTGGCAAAGGCACGTTGCGTGATGTACCGCAAGTTCGAGTTGAAGACCAATAAAGCAGATATGTCCGTCGTTTGATTGGAAATTGTTTGCAGAGTGACGTTCGAGCATTGTAAACGATCGGCTGGCCCTGCGTGCAATGATATCGTTACATTTAGCAATTTTCATAATCGTGAAATTTGCGTTCCTCTATCTCCTCCTTGAATAAAAGACACACTCAAGAAGAAGATAAGGATTTGTTCGTGTTCTAATTTTTCCAAGCCCGCCATCGGGTCAATCGAAAATTTAACGCGGTCGAAGTGAAAGAGTTTGCCTCACCTCCTTCATGCTTGCCCACGGTGCATATCGCAAGCACGAATCCGATACACTTGAGAATGCACAACAGAATAACGGAGAACGACGTACGGCGCATTTTAATATGGTTAACAACACAGTTCGACAGTTTTACGACTGATGACGACGCAATGAAAACGGATAGACGAAGGAATCAACTTGTCATCGCGTTTCGACTTATCAGGTCTTGCTTCCTGTCGTTCTCCACGATACTCGGTGCTATCGCTGAATTCCTATGGATCTCTAATTAAAAAAAAAAAAAATAGCTATCTCTGTTCGTCTAATAGGCGGTTTCCCGATGTAACTCGATGCAACGAATTCCTGACAATTCTTTTTCTCCTTTTTTTCCCCAGTGAATGTCAGCGTCGAAGAAGAAAAAGAAAACGATTCAAATGTTACAGGTATCTCATCCCTTGCGAGCTGCGGCGAAGTGGACGCGTTACCGCAACTGCCAGCGCAAGACGAGGAACGATTGCAACGCGCTGCACGTTTGTTGCAACAAAGGCTCGTTTTACGCCAATGGTTGACGGACCATGGCTTGCACAGTCATTACCAAAAGTGAGCAGAATTTCAGCTTGCATGATTCTGTTGATTTCTTTTGAAAAACAATCGAAAACTGTTATTTGCATTGCGACTTTCCGCGAGAAAAAAAAAAAAGTCGAAGTAGACGTACTTTCGTGTCGTCAGGTTAATGCAGATGGAGGTGATGTCTCTGGAGGACGTGTATTGGGTAGAGGATAATGCGGCACGAGCAGCTCTTGGCAAGGATCTACCGCGATGGACCCAGGCCAGGCAGATGCTGCCTACCTCAAAGGAGGATTTAGAAACCCTCAAGGCTGATTTGTGGAGCGCTGTTGTAAAAAATAGCCAACATCAAGACGCTTGGACATGGGGTATAATTTCCTCCCCTTTGTTTTTCATAAATAGTTCGGCTGCATAACGCGAATGCGAATTTTAGAAACTTTTAGGGAAATAACTTTCTTCCTTTCATGCCTTGCAGGTGGAATGTTGGTAGTTTCTGTGTCAGTGGCAGGGTTAGTGACACTGGCTGCTATGACACAGCCAGCTCTGGCACCAGAGGCGAAGCATTCCCTGTTGCAATATGTGACTGGAAAATATTTGTTGCCGAGCAATTGCCGAGTTCATTTTGCATGGGATGAACCGCAGCTCGTTGGAGGAACTATGACGTTTGTAGTGAAGGTACGTAATAGGGCTTGCTAAATGCATATTTAGATAAAGTAACAAACTGCTGGTAGTGAAACTTGTTAAAAAATTTTGTTATTATTGAACAATAACTTCAAACTTTATAGTTTTATCAACGTAATGGCCAACCGTATCCAATTTGTGACAAAGACAATTTAATCGTTGAAGTCACAGAAGGTACACGAAGAGTAGCTACCCTGATAGAATTGGGAGGCACCGACCCCTTAGCTGCGAATATTGCAGTTGTGAAGTTTACTGTCCGCCATGCTGGACAATATCGAATAGCCGTACTTATTGGTTCGTGTCACGTTTACGGTAGTCCGTTTCTTAAAAATTTTCTTCCCGGTATGTTCACGCGATAAACGTATTAAACGTATTTACATTTACTTTTGCGAGGAAGAACTGTGCGCTATTATAGAGTCGCGTTTGATTTGATTTTTAGGTCCACCGGATCCAAATAAGACCATCTTTGTGCGGCAAAGTTCGACAGTAGTTTGTACAGCCGGAGTTGCACACTCTATGACAATAGAACCTCGAGACGAATATGATAATCTGTGCATATTTGGACCCGGGGATAAGCCTACAGAAGGTTACCAAGTTAATATTACTCAGGCAAGTTTAATACCGTTATGATCGAAGGATACTTACGTTATTGCAGTTGACTTCATTATCTGTTGTTTTAATTACAGATTGGTAGTTCGGTAGATAAGTCGGCCATTGTGAATTGTAACATACAACTTGAGTACGACTCTCCGAATCAAAGGATTCGTTTAAAAGTCAGTTTCCCGAAGGGTAACTGTTATCACGCGACGGTTAGTTTAGGAGGGCTACAGCTACACAACGGTGACTTCGACATCATTGTACTCGAGAGTACGTAAGATACTTTTTGAAATCATATTGTTAATGAAGTTTTATTTTTTACAGTGTTTATATTTGTTAGCGTAGGTGATGTTGCTAGAATGGTACACAATAACGTGGCCTCGAAGGATCCCAATATTTGTTATGCCGCAAAACTTTTGGGGATGCAAGGCGAGAAATTCTCGAAGCCGAAAAAAGTTGTCTGTTTCATTTCGCCTAAGCAGCTTACTATTAAAGAATACTTGCTAAGAATTATTCCGAAAAGGCTTGTTACATTTAGACTTTGTCCGTCAACTAAAGTAAGCAAAAATTCACATGAAAGAAACATTAGTTTTTTTATACAGATTATATGTATTATTTAGTATTACATTGAACATGTACAATTATATGTATAAATGTATTATTTTTCAGTTCCATTTTGATTGTTCAAATAATCAATACGAAGGCTACGATTCTTTTTCTATCGACGATGGATGCCAGCCACCCGTTGAATTAATTTCTTTATATCGAGATATAATAGCCGCTACATTTACGTTGTTTCTGTTGAAGAACATAGGAGGAAGTGAAACTTTTGCTGACAAACAAGACTTCTTTTATCACGAAGTACGAAAGCACCATCAAAAACATTATCACGAAAAGCTTTCGATGAAAGTTCAACGAGACAAATTGCTAGAATCGGTAAGTGTTAATTAATTAATATGTTAATTAATATAAATATTAATTAATATAATTTAACTTCACTCAAATTTATCACGATTTTTTCCCTTAAGTCTATGAAAGCTACCAAAGGATTTTCTGTAAGTGACTGGTGCAGAAATTTTGAAATAAGCTTTCAAGGTGAACAAGGTACGTTTCATCTGTAAAAATATTTGTATTTATTTAAAAATAAATAATATTTAATGGTAACATTTGGTATTTGATTTCAGGCGTCGATTGGGGTGGTGTTCGACGGGAATGGTTCGAGTTAATTTGTGCATCACTGTTCGATTCAGGAAATGGCTTATTTGCATCCTTTGGAGAATCACAACAAGCACTAGTTCATCCTAACAGTAAACGGCCTTCGCATCTCAAATTAAAACATTACGAGTTTGCTGGAAGAATCGTGGGCAAATGCCTATACGAATCCGCTCTTGGTGGTTCCTATCGACAGTTAGTACGTGCAAGATTTACAAGATCATTTCTTGCGCAAATCATAGGCCTCAGAGTGCATTATAAGGTATAATTGCTTATTATCAACCTATTATATCAAAATAGAATTGTAACAACCTATTTATGTTTTTATGTTCCGTATAGTATTTCGAGCAGGATGATCCAGACTTATATCTGAGCAAGATAAAGTATATTCTAGAAAATGATGTTGAAGAAATGGAACTTTATTTTGTTGAAGAAGAATATGATAAAGATGGTCAATTACTAAAAGTCAGATTATAATCGTTTATTATGATATCGCTTTTTTGCTGCAATAATGATATAATTTGAAATTTGAGTTATTGATACAGAAAAATGTTATTGGTTGTACTTTTTATTGATAGAGTTTTATATATTTTATATGTGTTAATATTATTATAAGAACTTGTGTGACACTGCAACAAAAACGTCAATATTCAAACTCGTTTTTCTTAAAATGTAATTTTTGAGTTTTATCATTACTGCAACAAATGAACAATATGTTTATATCATTCGCTCTAAATATATTTATTGTAGGTAGCTGAATTAATACCTGGAGGCAGTAAGATTCGTGTAACGAACGAAACGAAATTGCGTTATTTGGACGCGCTTGCGCAACACAGACTCGCTAGTTCTATACGAAACGAAGTGGAACATTTTCTAAGGGGGTTGAACGAACTCATTCCCGATAATCTTTTGGGGATTTTTGATGAGAACGAACTTGAAGTATATAAATATCTTTTAATCCTATCTTTAAATTAATATTTATTTTTCCATTCAAATTAATATTTATTTTACATTCATATTTATTATAGCTATTATTATGTGGAACTGGTGAATACAGTGTCGCAGATCTACGTGCGCACCATATAGCGAACGGAAGTTCTCCAGAATTTCTTCGAGTTCTTGATTGGTTTTGGACTGCAGTTAGCAACTTCACGCAGGAAGAGATGGCCCGGTTATTACAATTTACTACAGGTTGTTCGCAATTACCACCTGGTGGATTTCAACAACTGAGTCCACGATTTCAAATTACAGCAGCACCAACTTTTGCTAACTTGCCTACAGCACATACTTGGTAGTTGAATGTTCCAACATAAATAACTTTCAAGTAATTAAACAATAGTAATTTTCAAAGAATAATAATTATTTAAATATTGTTGCAGCTTCAATCAGCTCTGCTTACCGGATTACGAATGTTACGATCACTTCGAGCGAGCTTTATTATTAGCGATTAGTGAAGGTACCGAAGGTTTCGGTATGATTTAAAGAGACTAAAATTAAGTTATTTTATTTGTTGTATTATCAACACATTCCTTACCGGCGAGTTTCCTCAATAACCGATGATACTACTTTTATACATTAACTTAATTAATAGTTTGTGCATATAACATACTTATTTAACATTCAAATTAAACGTTCTATACTTTCTGAGTCACCTTCTACAATTATTTTCATCATAGCCTTTATTAATGACGCGCACATTGCGACATCGGCTAATGAGTAGCGATCTTTCATGACGCTACATCATCAGTAAGGAATATGTTAACATAGTCAATTAAGTTTATTTTGTTTCTTGTACTATTGTTACAGTTTTATTTAAAAGTCTAGACGTAAAAAAACTACATTTACCGCATATTTTGATAAACGAAACATAGAATTTTTGAAATTATTCTTTTTGCGTTCTGCCAAATGACTATCATGAACAATCCAATATATTTCAAAACATAAACGACGATATTAATATTTTTACTGGCTTGTGGTAACGTTTTTATAAAGAGGTGATACAAAGAGCAATCTTAAAGAAACATCTATCGTTGCTCAATTTGTTGTATCAAGGTTTGTTGTAGTTTAAAATGTTGTAAATTTTATTATTCATAAAAGTAGGTACTTACACGTTCCTCAAGCCACCAGATTTGATATATTCTTCATAGTTTATCAGTATGCAATGATTCTTTTATAATTACCGATTTAGTTAAAGTTAACATACGCATTGTAAAATTTAAGAAAATCGTCAGTATCCAATCAGTATTTTCTTTTCTTTTTTTTTTACTTCGCACTAGAAACACACAATAAATAAGGAAAATAATATATTTTCTTATTACTATTTCGTTTTGTAAATTCATGTTATTTATATGCAACCAGTCAATGAATAGATTTAGATTTCATTATAGATGCAATATGACTGTAATTTTGTTAACTATTGCGTATATCTTTCATGAAATCCCTTCAACTGCACACTGTGCTTTTCTTCATTTTCATATTTCATTAAAAATTATTGAATAAGGTGGTAAATTGACGAGTACGACCGAATCCAGTTTCAAGATTGTAGGACAGCATTATTTGTTGTCACAATTAACATATGTAATAAGAAATGTTTTAGATCGACTAGCGAAAAGATAAAATTACACCTAACAACATACACTCAAGTATAGAACGATTTTGTGATAATAAGAACGAATCTTCTATTGAAATTTGTGCCGTGTCTTCACTTGCTGTGTACGAAAGCCTCAAATGATAAAGGATCTATACTATACTGGCTGAAGCCTGAAAGTATACTGAATCGATATTGTTATCAAAAAAACGAAAATCAATTTTATCTTGTACTTAAATACACAATAATGAGAAATGTGATCAGACACGTCGTATTTGTGTCACTCGTACCCTTAGATTTTACGATCTACTGTAATCTGTTTTTGAAAAAAATAATATACCATTAGCATCGCTCTATTATACATATTTATTTTATCTCCGTTAAAACGGTGAACGGTTAAAACGATATATGAGTTCAAGTATTATATAAAACATGATCAACTAGGATGAAATGTGTATATACATACGTATTTATCGATTATTTAAAAGTATTTGCCAATGTGTCGCAATGTGTCGACAAGAAGAAATCAATTTTCGTAACAAACTGAGCGATTCTGATGGTATCTTATTTTTATCGCTTTATCATGTTACACGAAAAAAAGGTGTAAAATATAGATAAAAAAAATCATACGATATCTGCGTTTATTTATTCATCCTTGAGTTTGTAGAATAATTTCCAGCGAATATAATATAATACTATATCATTAAATATTTTGAGGTATTGCTTTTCTCTTCTTGATCGAAAATACTACATATGAAGTCCATGATATTAAAAAGTATAAAGAATAAAAAAAATATATATAAATAAAAAAAAATATAATTTTAGTAATAAGAGTACCCAAAAATTTGCTATTTTGAAACTGTTCTTGCCTTCTTTGATTTCTTGACAAGTATAGATAATTCACCTTCCATAACTTGAACGTAAAATCTTCCCTTTCTCCATTCTTTTATCAAACAATCATCGTCATCACCCTTGAACTTCCACTTTTTAAACCCTTCGTTTCAAAATGAAACTCAAAATACGAGGCTGTCATCCTCAAACAACAACAACTAAAATTTCAATAATAAGCAGTCGTTACATTCTTGTAATTAACAAGTAATGATGATTTACTTACCAAGTTATCTTTAAGAAGCTGACACTGGACCCGATAATAAAGTGCGCAGTATAGCTCTTGGCGCCCGTACAACACTACCAGCTATTTGCAACATTCTACTACTCCATCCCCCTTCTTGGGATTGACGTATTAAACGTTCTTTCAGTTCATTCAATTCCGCTCTAAAAATAATCACAGACCAATTTTGAGCTAATATTTTTCACTCGTAAGTAATAAATAAAGATACTTACAATTGTGAATTGTATGCGACCTGCATGCGTTCCAGAGCTACCTCTCGATCAACTAGCTGAGCTTCTAAAGAAATCGCTCGCAAGTGTAAATTTCTCCCCGTATCTTCGCTCGATTTTAAAAGCTTTAGCAACTTGATTTTTTCATCTTCTTTAGCTTTTAACTCTCTACAGGTGCGGAGTTTATATTAAAGTGATGTGTATACTGACGAGGCTAATAATTTTACTTTGAACATCGTTCTATCTGTTCCTGTGAAGATTCAACCAGAGCAATCTGCGTAGCGAGTTTCAATTGTAAATCCTCCACGACTGACTCAGCTTTGTCTGCTCTCATTCCTCTTTCACTTGCTAACGTTTCACTGGCAGTCACCTAAAACAGTCATTACATTTCTCTAATACATATTCAACAAGCAAACACTACAAGAATCGATATGCAAGTATCCGTTGTTACGAAATTTTAAATTACTACTTTATGTAAAATAACAATATCATGATTTCTGTTTTACCCCTATACTAAATGGGAATTAATAGGTCAGGTAATATCGATCGGTTTTCTTAGTAAGGAAGGAGTATTACACGATATTGAGTCACCGATGAAGCAAAAAAGATATGACTCAACTATGAAGCACATATATCCTGTCGTGCATTGACCTACCTAACAAGTGTATCAGTTTCTTATTAGGGCTATTAAATCTCTCAGGGATCTATAAATATTGGAATAGCGAACAAAGGAAAGACTTTTTTGTTGAAAAAATAAAAGTAATGAAATTTTCGAAGTACGCAAATTTTCTCAAGGATTTTAGATAATTAAACCTGCAGCCGTTTTAAAGATTTCATTCTCTAAGTTTGAAAGGGTGAGCGAATGAGTCATTCGTTCATAGAAAACAGTAGAAATCTACATTGAACTGAGAATTCACCCCCTTGGTGGACTCGTCTCCAGCGAGCACAACAATGAGTCATCGAGCGAAATCAATTTTTATAGTGGTATGGTATGCAAGCGTTACTCGTGGTAAGCGTTACTCTTCATTATGAAATCTTGTCTATAGAGTATAATAGACTACTTAGAAATCTAGCCTTTTCCAGAAGTAGTTTCTTATCTTCTCGTAATTTCAACAGCTTTTCTCGATCCTTCGACATTTGTTCGTCGAGCGCACGAAGTTGATTTCGCGCGGTAAGCAACTCGTTTCGCACATTTTCCGATGCAACTAGCCTCTCCTCGGAAAGTTCGGTCAAACGTTTAACCTCGTCTTCCATTTTTACTGTTTCCTGCAAAAGAACGGTAACCTAGTTGTGAAAGCATGTTCGATGCTAAATTGAACATTCGTAAATCTAGAACCAGTTTCATCTACGTTGGTGTCGTCGCGATACAGTTTCTTCTTTCGCTTCACAATTAGCTGCTGGACCAATGCCAACTCTCCACTTGCCTGTATAGTATATACTAATTAATGCTAACGCTACGACGCATATTGCTGTTACATCCAAACAGAATAAATTCTCGCTTTTATATAAGCATATAAATATCATAAAAAGGTTTTAGAATAGTTAGCCATGGAAATTGTTTTTCAAGAATGTCTTCAAGTTCCAAACGAATAGAAAGTAAGAAGATCTCGTTAAAATAACAATAACAAAATAACAAGTGCAGCTATTAAACTTCTTTAGAAAATATTCTTGTGTATCAAAGAAATAACAAGAATCATGCTATCATTTCGGTAACTGTATTATTGCGTGCCCCAAAACTCGTGTCGCGAGCTCTTATGCTAGCGTCATCCCTCTAGTTAGATACACGTCATTGAACTCTCATGTTCATCGTCCACAAGATGTTAAGTGTGTATAGAGCTCTTATTCCTCGCCCGTGCAATGTTACCACGCTATGAACACGTAAACATATACTTTCTACTCTTTCTAGTTTTTCAATTAATTAATTAGTGAACCTTGTCGATCTTCGAATAAATGTTACAAAAATTACCGATTTCAAGATATTCCTTTCTTTCAGCGTTTCGTCGAACTGAATTTTGACACGATGAACATCGCCAGTCAGTTTGCTAACACGGCTATTCTCCGTGTCGAGTAGCCGTCGCAGTACAACGATTTGCAGATGCAAGTGTTCGATCCGCTGGTTCAAATCGTCGATCGTGCCACGAAGATATTGAACATCACTACGCCTACATCTCCAGGCGTTCAACATAAGTACATGACACACTAAAGTCGCTGCTTTCTTTGGATTTTGAAAGAATTGAGAATATGCTTGCTCCGATTCCGAGGTGGCAAACCCGTCCATCCATTTCCTGATACCGACGCTGATCCCCATTTCGTTGCCAATGATCTCCTTAATTTTATCATTCTCTTCGAATTTTTCTACGGTTGAACTACTGTCTGATCTGAATCACAAAATGATCATGACTCAATTTTAAGTTGTTGCAAATTTTCTACATATATATATATAAACTTTACCTAAGATCGCCATTTTCAGCATCCATTATCAAAGGTGAAAAATCAATCATGGATAAACTCTTTTTGCAACGTGATGTATCAATAACATGGTAGATCGAGCATGTTGAATTGTCCGGGCAGCTTTTCGTCGTGTTGATTGTGGTTTTATGTTTAATTGTTGCAAGATTGGCTAATCTGAAAGAAGTCCTCGGAGGACGATAATATCGATTGGGTCTCTGGCATCTTACGGGAAGTTGCGAGTATGTTAGAAATTTATGTTGCATGCATCTTGTCAGCTTTTTCTTAGCGAAGAATTGATTCGGCTCTTCCCTTGAGCTTGTTGAAACGCTCAGGGAAGACGAGCTTTTCGGAGTGATCGCAATTTCTGGCATTACTTTCGCAATTCACGAGTAAACTCTTTACAAAATTATCAATGTTGTTTATTCTTGTCATGGAGACGAAATGGGTGAATAAAGTAACAGAAAAGCATCGTCACTCTTGATAACAATGCGTATACAATAACACTGATAAAATTTTAACAGAATAAAAGATCGTATTTTCTAAAGTTTTTCTCAAAATGACATGCCCTCCCCTTCAATTTTGTATTTTTCTTAATTTACAATTTTGAATGCGTTTCCCCTATTTTTGTGTTATTTCGACTATCATAATATGATATGTATAATATGTAGTATATAACAATATAATGTAATATTTAGATTACGTCGTGTATATGCTTTGAACGCACTACTTCGTAGAACTGCATAAATTGAATACATTTGTGATAAGGGGCGATTAAAACTTATATAATATATAGATCTGATCTACAACACAATTGCAAACCACGAGCGATTTTGTTCGCGTCGAAAACTGATTTAGAAGCTTAAATTAACATAGTATTATGACTTAATAAATAATTTATGAAGATATTCTTAAAAGGTGATAATTAGGATTGAATTTTTAATTAGGAAAGAATTTTTAAATATAAACGACAATATAAATTAACTGGATAATATAAATAATATATAATAATACTTGATAATAATTATATTTTACAATAATTTAAATAACTATTATTTTCTATAATATCGAATAAATTCCTGATTATCTAACACCATACAGCGTCACATAATAAAACAGACTTGACGTGTTTGCATGAGTCATCGGGCATTAAGTACCTAGGTAGGCAGAACGTACGCCCCTGAAGTTTAATTTACTAATTTACTTGATAAATTCGCTGAATATTGAATTTATTTTAGATTCAGTATTAGTATATTCACGTTAGAAAACGTTAAATTTAACGCTGAGTTCAACATTTAGTTTAATAATTTTCAATTTCAAAAATCTAATGCAAGGAAATCTATAAGAAAAACAACGTAAAAAAAACATCAGGAAAATATCAGGAGAATAAAATGTGATATGTAAAAACGTCATCTATACATATATTTCAAGAGAGGAACTAACCTAATATATTATATACACGCGTTCACTTGTCTCGAGTGTTAGCCGCAAGTTGTGAGTATAAAAGCATCGGAGTATACGAACTTGCGCGATCGACGAAGCGTATTGCTCGACTCCTACTATTGAAGAGCAATGAGCAGGCCAGTACCGATACAAAGTCCGTGCGAAATGTTGTGCCGCATTAAGTCTTGTTTCTAGTTACGGCCGTGCACGCTTTCATGTCGCGTGCAAATAGTGTACGCAGTAGTACTTCACGAAACAAAAAAAAAAACTTCAGTCGCAAATCTAAATATTGATTCATGTTTTCTTTGTTTCTTTTTTTTTTTTTGTTTCGAAATTACTCGGCCCGGTGTGCACTCAGTTCGCGTTTTATACGAGAATTCTTAAAGATAGAATTTTTCTTGGCAAGAGAATTTATCTAAAATAGTATGCGTGCTTTCATACTTGAAAGTGCTTTACTATGTTGATCAAGCTGCAGGCAAGTCTTCCCGTCACATTGTCCTACGATAGTTTAATTATAGCTGCACGGCTTGTGCGAACCTAGGCTTTCCCAAAATAATGATTGGATCAGCGTAGCATCCCTCCTTGCCCTCTACTCTCTATGTTTCTCTTCCCTTGGGACTTGGGACACTTGTGTGCAGTGCCTTTGGAAGTATACCTGTGAACAGCTGTCGTTCTGCTGACTAGAAGTTTAACACGAATTTCCTATGCATACTTGTTAACTTACGTCCGAATCTTTAATACTGGTGCTAATAAAAAAAGTTACGCCTAACACATTCTACGTCAGTCATTGTCTATATTGCGACATGAATATACTTTACGCCAGGATGTGCGATCAATGCATTTGAAGGTTCGATTTTTCTTACATCGAATAACTCGATGTCACAATCTTCTATGCTATTATTTCACGTTCTCCTAAGTATTTATCATTGTTCAAACGCTCGACATTTTTATTTATTTTAACGAAACGCGCGCGAAATTTTTTTTTGTTACGAAATTCTGCGAAATGTTGGATCGTTAGTTAGTTACTTTTCCTCTTTTGATAAAACCTTCGAAACAATACAACATTTAAGAACTATTAAACAGTAAAGAGAATTTTCATGATACTGTTTATTTTAATAATCATTCTTATTTCGACGAAATTATTAAATAAAATTTCCTAACAACAATTTAGAATTATAGAACCTTAAACATAATATGAAAATTGTTTTTCAGATGGCTGCTATTCGATACATTAAACAGTAAGAGGCATGGAATTCAATGATATGAGTGATGAAAATATAAATATAAGTGATGTCAGTAAGTATTAAAAATTTTATTCTATTTTTATATGAACTTATATCAAATTTCTGGGAGTATATTCAAAATCTTTTCAATACAGTTGAAGTCATCCAAACTACTGATCCTGGGTTCGTGGAGTATAGTGAAAAGGAGGATCAATTGCAAGTGGAAATGAACACTGGGAAGATATTGCCATATGTTGAAATAATAGAACAGCCAGCAAGTAAAGCTTTACGTTTTCGCTATGAATGTGAAGGTAGATCAGCTGGTAGTATACCTGGTATAAATAGTACACCAGAAAACAAAACATTTCCTAGTATAAGAGTAAGTAGTAAAAATGAAAATCAAAATGTGTTTGGGATTAATATAATATGACAATACATAATATTGATTACAGATAGTTGGATATAAAGGTCGAGCTGTAGTTGTAGTATCATGTGTAACAAAAGATCGACCACATAGACCTCACCCTCATAATCTTGTTGGGAAAGAATCATGTAAACGTGGTGTTTGTACAGTAGAAGTTTCACCAGAAAATATGACAGTCACATTTGCAAATCTTGGTATTCAATGTGTCAAGAAAAAGGACATAGAAGAAGCACTTAAAGTAAGAGAAGAAATTCGCGTAGATCCCTTTCGAAGTAAGTTAAAATTTAGTTATATGTTTAACATATTTAAACTTATTTACATATATTTAAGATAAAATAAATATACTTTACTATTTTAATAGCTGGTTTCGAACACAAAAAACAACCTACTAGTATTGATTTAAATGCAGTAAGATTGTGTTTTCAAGTCTTTTTGGAAGGAACACAAAAAGGAAAATTTAATGTGCCACTGTCACCGATTGTATCTGACCCTATATTTGATAAAAGTACGTTATAAAATGATAAAAATTGTATACTTAGTGTTGAAGGAATTAGTTATTTAATCATATTTTAAATAATGAAATATTTCAGAGGCAATGTCAGATCTTGTGATATGCAAGCTCAGTCACTGTAGTGCATCAGTCGCTGGTGGTATGGAAATGATTTTGTTATGCGAGAAAGTTGCGAAAGAAGATATACAAGTTAGATTTTTTGAGGAGAAGGATAGACAAGTGGTTTGGGAAGGAATTGGTGATTTTCAACCTGCTCATGTACATAAACAAGTACGTACAATGTTCAAAGTCTGTTTAGAATTATGTATTTTATGTATTCTATAGCTTCATTAATTTAATAATTTCCTTTATGTTAATAGACAGCAATTGCATTCAGAACACCCACATATCGTATACAGCAAGTGGACCAACCAGTGCAAGTATATATTCAACTTAAAAGACCATCGGATGGTGCGACAAGCGAGCCATTGCCTTTTCAAATGTTACCTCTTGGTGCAGGTAGGCCTGCTTTCTGGTCTTTACGGAAAGCATTTGCCAGGAAAAAAACAGATTATAGTACATTTAGTAAGATTTTAGCCACTGAATCAGCATTACTTTCAAACGTTGCCCCAAAATTTCCGCGTAATATCGATGAATATAATAATAATAATGATGATTTCAATGTAAAAAAATCTTATAACAAAATTTCTGCGTTACGTGCCTTAAATGATTTGTATAATGTAAAAAATACATTAGATTCTTGTATTGGAAATATGGAAATGAAACAAAATATCGCACAAAATATAGGTCATACTAAAAGTACTATTATAGATTATCAAAATAACGAAATACCAATTAGTGAAGAGAAACGAACTACAGAAAATGAACAAATAAATAAAATTTACAAAATTGATAGTAGTTATATAGACAAAGAAACAAATGACAATAATTCCGGAACTTTAACTCGTACTAAATCTGATAGTACCGCTGAAAAGACGTGCATATTAAAGCACACTGAAATACCAAAAAATAATTCCGATTGGTTCGACTACTCGGAAGTGGACAAATGGGTACAAAAAGGTCAAATATGCCTCAAAGAGAAAAACAACGAAGCAGATTTTAAAGCTGAAGTAACAGAGGATTGCAATAAGTCCTTCAATGAATTATTGTCACAAGTAGCTGAATTAGACCAGATATATGCAGATACACATGCAAAGTTGGTACAAGCAGCTCTTGAACAAAATACAACGGATCAATCTATGGATATTGACGTTTATGATAATCAAACTTACACTAGTTTACAAATGGCTATGAAAAATCCTATTGAATTTGTTGATTTACCGAATGAGAGAAAGTACGAAGACGTATGTGTACCAAAAATGGATGTTAATCTATCTTGTATTTTCTCTCCAGTAACTACAAAAAGAGAAGGAACGCAGGAAACGGAAGAGAGATTACCGCCTTTACCGCCGAAACGTATCCGCAAAATGCCTTCTATGCCACTTCTACCTCGTCCTATATCGTCTCATACGACACATGACTCTTTCATCGAAGCCCCAAACAAAACTTTACCTTCTCCACCCGGTACTTTAACTAAAAATTCAAAACAAGGACTATTTTCAAAATTGTTCACAAAGAAAGCAAAGAAAGATAAAGATATAATTTCAAATGTATCCAAAGAAAATAGTCAGCCTTTGAGTTCTACAGGAAATGTTTTGCATATATCAACAAACAATACTTCAAGTAATTCACAATTACAAATTCCAAGACCTAGTACAATAAGTACTACTAGTGTAAAATCACTCAGATTAGAAGGAGACGAAACACCACCATATGGGATTGAATTAACAGAAGCTGAACATTATGCACTGTACACTGCTATGGCACCACATGCAACTGCATCAGAATTCGATGAAATGTCTTTTTATTATAGTCCTGTAGAAGGTGGAAAGATTTACTCTGAGAAAAAGGAAGCATAATTTACTTAAATATTTATAATGTTTTTCCTAGTCCACTTCCATTTGAGAGTAACATTTTTCTCCAATAATATATTTTTAGAAACGAAAAACATTGTGATAAACGAAGTTACTTATTTGCAACTGCAATTCTTAAAATTTGAATATCTTTGCATACTTGAGATACATTTTATACAATTTACATTTATCATGAAAACCAGAAACATGATAAATTTTTCATGCTATCTTGTTTAAAATACTCTGAAACTAATTCAATACTATTCTAGTCAGAGTACAAATTGTTACTTTGTTTTTATAATCATTATATATATATATATATATATGATATATGATATATATATATGATATATGATGATATATATATTCATATATCTTTAAAACTAGCTGGAGCATAAGCTCAGCTGATACTCGTTGTTTATTATCAAAGAGTTGGCGTTTCTTCTAGTCAAATGTTACAGTGTTGCTACTTATTATATTTTTAATTTTGTGTATTGCTTTTTATTATTTATGACATGTTGTTAAGTTTTTTTTTTTATAGTGCCCCAGATTTATAAACATCATTTAGCTTGTAATTTTAGAATAAGTATTTGATTTAGAAGTACAATTAGTAATTTATAAGATTATTTACTTATAACTCATAACTATTTTGTACCAAAGATTTAATCGATTGTGCAGATATGTTTTCAATGGTAAAGAATCTTGAAGTGAAATTTATATAATAATGTTTATAGATCACGTGGTTAATGTACAATCATTTATAGATGATCCTGATTCGTTAAGGCGAAAGAGACAAAAATTTAATAACAATCCAAACGCGCTTGTTTTGAGGCATGTACAGGCAGAAGCTGAGAAGCGTGAGTATTTTTATCAAACTGTCTTCAATTCTACAGCTTGGCGGGATTGGGTTTAAATGATGCTATTGACTTCATCGAATTGTCAAAATTTATTTATACATTGTGCTATATCGACGCGTTTTTCTTCGTACTATACTAATTTTCACGTTCACATTTATCTCATACTGTATAAAAAAAAAACAAAAGAATTAGCAAGCTATCTCAGTGATGCCAACAATCAATTCATTGTGCATTTTTTGATGGAGCTTATCAGCCCCATTTGTTATAACGATTATTGTGATAACTATAGAAAATTTGTTGGAAGTTCCAAGGAGTTGGACTAATTTGTACATTTTGAAAATGTTTATTGTATTTTTACGAATGGCGAGTTTACATTTGTCAGTATATCTGTTTCAGCGCCTTTAAATCATATCACACTAACTATAAGATTAATCCAATCTCTCTGCACACTGGAAACATTGAAATTTATGAATTTCTTACTCCGTGATATATTTTATTCGTCAAATTTTGTACAATAGAATCCAGAAATCCAAAAATGTTATTATTAAACATAAAAAAATTATGAAAGTTTCCGTTGTGCAGAATGATATATTTTGATGGATCAAAATCTTCATTATATTAAGAAATACTATTCTCATATATATTATATATACATATATATATACATATATATTTTCACGCACTAACAAAAAAATCTTGTTTTATACTTTTTTAAGAACATGTTTTGTATAAATGTTTGGAATTTATATTTGAATTATTAAAGGGCAGTGGCCTTGTACATTTAAACATAAAACTGTATTTTTGTAATTATTAATAATGCGTGGATATTATTTTTATATCCATTAATGTGAGGACAAAAGTACATTGTCAACGATAACACAATGTACTACAAAAACGAGTTGTATAACTTAAATGATATGCAAGCACCCTGCTCTTGTATAAAAATATTGTATTTAAATATTCAGCAATGATTCAAAAATTATGTGCAATACTTGTATGGCAATATAGATTTTTATAAACTGCTTTAAGAAACAAAAAAGTTATATCTGTATAATGTATGATTTATATATACAGAATATATCAATCTATATATACACATATATACATACTTACTTACTGATAAAAATGACGTGTTTTTATTCTGCTCCCAATCAATTTCAGATTAAAAGAATATGTAAACAAATTTTTCAGGTACGATATAATAATATTAGTTTAGATTGTTGATATTTGCTAATCATATTGACTGTATTTTTTATTACAATACAAGAAACTCAATTTTTATCAAGTAATGTTTGAAGTGAAAATATATAAAATTGCATGTATTTTCTTCGCAACTAATTCTACTCTTTTACTTCGCTTTTTAAATGTTACTTAATCATATTCATTTTTATGCTTTTACAATTTTTATGTGCTTATTAATCATAACACGTTTTTTTTCAATAGATCTGTTACATTTTATAAATATTGTTAAAATTAATATAGTGTAAATATTTAAATGTTAACAAATTTGTAAGACAAATGTAGATATTTGTAGTAAGTAACAAAATAAACTTGTATTATTTTAACTAATTATTTATTAGTAGTTATTTACGTACTTTATCACAATTGTAGATGGTATGGCATTAAATCAACCGATCGAGTACAATTTTAATATTGTCAAATCAGAGCCGAAGGAAAATATATCTCCTTATGGAAACCCAGTCGGAAGTGGAGGATCATTTCCGTTGTATTCTATGGGAACCACTTCTCCACGACCACAATCTAGTATGCAAACGTTGAGGTAACTTAAAGCTTTTTTATAACTATTATTTAAAAAATAAGATAATAAATAAAACAATGGATCTGAAAAAATTTCAATGTTATACAGGCCACAAGTATCGCCAGGTCGTATATCACCAATAGAGTATAATCCATATAACCCAGCACTTATTCAATCACAATCATCACCGCAATATCAATCAACAAACAATCATATCGTACCACGATTAACCGAAACGTATGCGCAACAACAATTTCCATATGTACATGACATGTTACAAATACAGCCGCAAGAACAATTAGTATTAAACAGAGTGACATCAAACTATCATGAAGAATTTCAATCCTTGGACAATACCGGTAGTATAAGTATTTGGATTTTGTATTTGTTATTACACCTACGTATCATTATTTTGAAATAATAATTGTAATAATTTATATAGCAGGTGAAGTGAAAGGAGCAGATGTTACAAGCGTTTTAGATATGGACAGTCAACAGTACAGTTTTGATTCAAGTCTTATTCAACTTGATTCAGCAGAACTCGCCGCTTTTGGTACTGCTCTCTCTGAAAATCTATCGAGTGGATTATTTATTTCAGATTCTCCTAAGGTATTTATATTACATATCCATTTATTGTACGATATCATCGAATGAATAAAAAATCAAGTTGTTGTTAAATCTAGTCGGAAACGAGCAAAGCAGCAAACGCAGAACCAAGTAACATCGAAGAAAGTAGTAACATGACCGACAGTTTTACAAGAATTACCAATAACACTATTCAGGAATTATGCACTTTGAATAATATGTATAAACCAACGCGGGAAGTTGACGACTAAAGAAGTCGTACATTTTATTGATCTTAATAACATTGTAAAAAATATGTTATATGAACATTATTTTTTAAACGAAAATTTTTTTACATGAATATATCATGTAATTAATATTTAATTAATTGTGATTATATCGCAGTACATTACTGTGCAATCTTGTAGAATATTTGTTCAATCGATAATCAGTTTTAAACACTGTTGATATTTTTATATGATTTTTAAATATCACTGTTTTCAGTATCACAAACGAGAAATATTTATCGACTAAGTGATGTACAAAATGCTATGACTGTGATCAAAGTGTATTGAACTCTACACATTTTAATGCGCATGCAAAGTGTCTTGATATGAATTATTATTGTATAAAATAAAACTCGGTGAAGAAAATACAATGTATATTGTAAGACAATCTGCATGCAACATTCGTACAAATTGCTTCCACAATTGAATCCACAAATATTAATTTCTATTACATATCTTATACGCTTATACAAATGTTTAATTTTTATTTTTTACACATGTTTACTACAAATTTGTTTGTAAATATATGTATTTTGTGTTAGAAGTAATATCTGAGCACAATGTTCGGCTCTTAATAATGTGCATCCGATTAAAAAATGTTCAATAATACAAGTTCCGTCCAGGTACGTTGATTCATATTTAAATTTTAGTATATAACTACGGTTACATTTCACCGTAGATTTTATATATATAATATTTACGGTTTTAACATCACGTTATCAATTATCATATAATCCGGTGTTATCTTAAAATCATTATTACAGAAATTTTTATAAATAAACAATATATATATATATATAAGATACAAATAACATTATACTTAAGTACATATGTTTACTGTATATACAATTACATCTTAGAATACATTATAATTTTACATACAATTATACGTGTAAATAAACATAGAAGTTCAGTAATATTTTATCTTGTTTATATCACATATTACGTACATGTTTTATTGTGAATTGTTTTTGAATATTTACACAACATAGTCACATATAATCCTTAATTTATATGTACATATAAGGTACATAAAAAACAATCTTAGTCTAAATTATCTTCGAAGAAATGAGCTATCGATTTATCATTAAATTATAAATAGGGAAAGACGTGTTCCTTCACAAACACGTGAAGAATAAAAAAACATCTGTTGTTTTCCAAAATGTATTTACTTAAAAATACAATGAAAGTTCAATTCTGATGGAATGGGCAGAAATATAGTCTGTGGTATCGGTTACTGTTACGTTGAAAATGATGATGCGATGGTATCCTGTACAAAAGTAGTTTGAACAAGACTTATGAACACACAAACCAAATTCTTAGCCTAGGATTTCGTTTAATCGTGTTTCATTACCAAATTCAATAAGATTTTTAAATTCACATTTTTTTTTTTCTTTTAATGCTTACCTAACAAACGTAGGGATGCAACTGTATCTGGGCATTCAGCTTGATTGATTGTAAGACCCGTTAGCACCAGTAAATAGTTTTTCAGAGTCGCGTCAAGTACTGGAGCAGAGAATGCCATAATTTCTGGCTCAAAGTACAGAACGCAAGTCCATTCTCATATCTTTTAAACATGTTGCAAACGGGGCTTCATATTGTATTAATAAAATTAAATGGACCTATGCTTATAATGTATGTATTGTATACTATGAACGCTAAAGTACTCATTTTTTGCTCAGGCACCTGTACTTTAAGATAGTTCTTTGTCAACATAATCGTCAAGGTACTATCTTGAAGTGAACACGTGTAAATACAGCAGCAGATTGTGTATAAAACCGTAGAGTAACAGAGTTCTGGAGATGATATGGCCTGTAAACAATACAATAAATTGCTATGTTGTACGCATTGTTATTTATAGTATGCATTCAAATTTTGTTATTTCTTTCATTGTAACATCGAATAAATTAGGTTTATCCTATGAACATGTGTACACAGACCATTTCATCTCCAATGTAGCAGGATTCAGTCCACAAATAGCAGTTTTTTTTTTCGTTCTTTTAATACTGCTATTGCTGTCATTTATTTTCGGAAGTTAAACCCATTACTACTTATGAGAACGAATCATTTTCTCTGATCTAACTGGCGTTTTATTTAACTATCTCATTCGAAAATATTTGTACATTAAAACGTGGGACATCGTCTCGCATTCAAATTATCGTTACTTTTATTTATTATGCAGCTATGGTACAATGGTATCGTAACCGCAATGTCTCTTCACCCGTTCCTTGTCTACCAGTCTCCCGAAATAAGTGGTGGCATGGACCATTCCATTTGCAAAGATCCACCGACTCTAGCACAAAGAGCATCTATATTTTGACTGTTGGTAACCAGCTAATATAACTCATATATTAAAAATTATCTGACACCTTTAATAAATCTATGGGTATGTCATTAGTAAGACATTGATCACCGTGTGTACAGGTGACTGCCATAATAAGAATACTGTCACCCGTTCTGCGATAGTCAACGAATCATTGCTCG